GGGCTGGGCGGGCGGTGTAACGACACCTGCGGGGAGTTGGGCCTTCCGGCACCGAGCGGCTTCCTTCGCTCCCCGCCTGGCCCAGCAGCCCCTCCCCGGGGCATGTCGGAGAGGGATACCCCAGCGGACTTGCTCTTCAGGGGTTCTTCCACCTGGGTGTAACCCCGGCTCGATCAGTACACACCTGGACTCGGCGCATGTGCTTCATGAAAATCAAGGTGTGCTTTTGTCATCAACAGGTGCTGTCTTCTGGAAGGCTGACGGGAGCAGCGAAACTTACAAATGGAAGAAAACAGTAAGACCTTCCTCGCTAATGCTGTCTAAGATTAGGTGTAGGTGTGAGCGTTTTGGGATCTTGTCATACCAAGCAGGAAACATTTTTAGCTGTGAAGTCTTGCACTTCTAGGCTCTAAGCAGGCCAAGAATAGACAGACACAAATGGAGTAGAAATTTTGGCTGTAGAAATACAGAATTGACTGCATTTTTAATTATAAAGGCTGAATTTTGTATCATTACGAGCCATATGTAAAACTTGAGTAAAGACTGAATTCTCCTTTGACATAAGCTGTTAATAGCTCCTAAACTTGTTTGTTGCAGCAATACAAAATTTTCAGAAAGAGAAAAATGTATTTTGTTTCTCGATAAAATGAATTTACTTTAGTTTGCTGTCATAAAGTAAAAGTAAACTTTTTACTTGGCATATTAAAGAGGTAGTTTAAACAGTGAATTCAACTTTTTCAGATTTGCCTTAAGAAAAGGATGTCATTCTGCTCTGGAGTCTGGATATTCTCTCAATTCCACCGAGTCTGATGATCAGGTAATGAAATAACTTCTAAATCCAGTTATCTCTGTTATCTAAAGAGAAAGGGAGTTTAAATACCTTGAATAATAGAAGAGCGGGTTCATTAGGCAATACAGTGTCAGGACTAGAAATAGCTTCTGCAAAGCTAGCAAGAGTGTCTATATACTACATCATCCAGATACATTCAGAACGGCTCTGTGTGCACTGAGTTGGGCTCTGACAAGGCTCATCAAGGCACAGGATATATTTTGCAAAACACAACTATGCTGTTCATGGACTAGAGCTGCCTCTGGCAGAAGTATAGCCAGATTTGATATGTTCTGTGCCGAAAAGAGTGAGTTGTATGGAGTCAGTTCTGCAACACTGTTTTCTGTCTAGTGCTCAGTCAGTGATCTCCAAAATAGAAATAAGCTGTAGATAACAGCTTAAGTGCGCATGGAAGTAAGAATGAGAACCACATGCATGCCATGAGCAGAACATACAATCCACCAAATGGACACATGCAAGAACACAATTTAGGGTTTTCTGCAAAATATGTCTTTGCAAACTTCCAGGTGGTTGCAAAGCTGTACATGGAAAACGACATGGTTTTGCTATTGTTGTTTCTCAGGTGACAGAATGGGAAACACCCCTAAAACAGGATCTTGGTTTACTGAAAGAAAAAGGTGATACTCATTTTCTGACTGCAGTGTTCTTTGTGCAGGTTGATACTACTCCTAATGGACTTGACCGTTGTGCAGCTTTACTGAAGAAAATCTTACAAAATGAGGCTACAGGTTGTACCTACTGAAACTTTAACTTACAGTTTTGTTTTTTGTAAGGCTGTTTAGATCATTTTTTTGTTGACTGCTTTTTCTTTTGACTAATACTAGGAAGGGAGACTATCCATAAACACCCCGGGAAAATATCTTCTGTTAAAATTACTTCCAAACCTTTGCTAACCAAAGGAAGTGCTTCCAAGAAGAATGGGTTGAAAAAAAACGTTACTCCTGCCCACATTCGAAAAGAAATTGGTAAGTGGGCTTTCTTGGGCTTGCTTTTTTTCCTCAGACAACATTGAGAGACTTCTCAACTTACTGAAATATGCTAAAGCTTCAGATAATTGTTGTTGTTTGGTAGAGTTTGATCCAGGGCTGGGTCCACAAAATGGTATAGACATTACTTAGGACCTTTTAGAAACCTTAAATGTTTACCAAGCAGTTACTAAAAATTCACAAATGTTTGAGCTTCATGTACAAGGAAGAACTTTGAGTGCTTTTTCAAATGCAAACATCAGGCTCAGCTGGTAGCAAGTGTGATGGAGAATGATAATACCTGTGCCCCATTTCTCTTGGACAGGGAAGCATTACAGTACTTGGTCTGTGTTCAGGATGGGCAGTTGTTAACTGTCCTGTAGTTAGGTGTCCAGCCAGGCTTTTCTCAAAGATAAGTTTCTGGAAACAGAAAAGCGTTGCAATAAATAAGAACAACTTAAATAGGTCAGTGGCCAAAGCACTTGAATGGAAAGGCAGATGGAGTGCTCTAGGCTGAGTTTCCCTCTGTTGAAATATCTCACTTTTCATTAGTGTTTCTCCCTCTCTCCACTTTGTTTCTTATGTTTCATTTCTAATCCAGTGGACCTGGGGCCTATAGACTAGATGTGTAGCATAATGCCTGGTTTGTGAATCATAGAAGGTGAGCACATAGCTGATGCCTTCCCAGCCTGTAAAAATACAAAGCTTTCATTATAACAAACATGAGGAAGTTAGGCTTGCAGAGTGCTTTTTAGAATGAACAGTCTAAAAGCTTAGGAAGCAGCTAAGCAGAGATTTTAAGAAATGCATTTTAGAACTGCTCTTCTGTAGGATTAAATCTCTGTTCTTTGTTAAAGGACAGCCATCTGTCCATCTGGGTTAGGTTGATCTGGAAGGAAGAAATGATAGATTAATTTCCTGGTGTATAAAAATCTGACTGGAATCTCTAAGCCATAGGATCTTTTGGTTTTCTTTTTCAAAGGAACCTGCCCAAAGTCTACCTGACAATACAGTGAGTTTGTTTAGCTCCAAGAAGACAGACAACTTCAGCTGGCCTTTTTGTTCTTTCTTTTTCTCTTTCTTTCTTTCCCT